AACCATCGCTCGCTCACTCACACCATCGCTCGCTCACTCACACCATCGCTCGCTCACTCACACCATCACTCGCTCACTCACTCACACCATCACTCACTCACTCACTCACACCATCACTCACTCACACCATCACTCACCCACTCGCTCACACCATCGCTCGCTCACACCATCACTCACTCACTCACTCACTCACACCATCGCTCGCTCACACCATCACTCACTCACTCGCTCACACCATCACTCACCCACTCGCTCACACCATCGCTCACTCGCTCCCTCGCTCACACCATCACTTACTCACACCGCTCGCTCACTCACTCACACACACGAACCCATCCACACACACAGTGTGAGTGAGATGGAGTGAGTGTGAGAGAGTGAGTGAGTGAGAGTGTGAGATGGATTGAGTGTGAGAGAGAGAGAGAGTGGGTGAGATGGGTTGAGTGTGAGGGAGAGAGAGAGTGAGAGAGTGAGATGGATTGAGTGTGAGGGAGAGAGTGAGGGAGGGAGGGTGTGACAGGGAATGATGGAGTGAGTGTGACAGGTAAAGACACAGAGAGCTGGAGTGTCGAGGAGATGGTGTCGGAGGCGAGGGCTGGAGGAGCAAAGGCTTCACGAGATCACAGACTTGAGACAACAATTCCAGGTCCGTCTCTCTCTCCCTCTCACACTCTGTCCATCTCTCTCTCTCTCTCTCTCTCTCTCTCTCACACTCTGTCCGTCTCTCTCTCTCTCTCACACTCTGTCCGTCTCTCTCTCCCTCTCACACTCTCTGTCTCTCTCTCTCTCTCCCTCTCACACTCTCGTCTCTCTCCCTCTCACACTCTGTCCGTCTCTCTCTCTCCCTCTCACACTCTCGTCTCTCTCTCTCTCCCTCTCACACTCTCGTCTCTCTCTCTCTCTCCCTCTCACACTCTGTCCGTCTCGCTCTCCCTCGCACACTCCCTCTCCCTCTCACCTCACACACTCCCCCTCTCTCCCCCCCCCCCCCCAGACTCTGCTGACGGAGCGGGGGCTGGTCAGGGTGAGGGCTGACCCCGTGAGAGACGGACGCGAGCGCAGACGGAGACACGGGGAGAGACGGGAACTGAACCGTCTGCGTCAGCAACAAGAGGGGCAGAGGTTGGGCAGACGGAAGGTTCTGAGCCTCACTCACACCCTCGGGGGAGAGGACAACTCGTCAGGGGAGGAGGGGGGCCACGGGCAGCCTGAACCCAGCCTCCAGGTCAGTCACACAGTCACTACACCTCCTCCATAGTCACTACACCTCTCGCACAGTCACTACACAGCCTGCAGGTGTGTGTGTGAGTCTGTGTCTCTCTCACTGTGTGCGTCTGTGTGTCTGTCTGTCTATCTCACTCTAGATGTGTATCTGTGTGTGTGTCTCACTGTGTGTGTGTGTGTGTCTCACTGTGTGTGTGTGTGTCTCACTGTGTGTTGTGTGTGTGTGTGTCTCACTGTGTGTGTGTGTGTCTCACTGTGTGTGTGTGTGTCTCACTGTGTGTGTGTGTGTGTGTGTGTCTCACTGTGTGTGTTGTGTGTGTGTGTGTCTCACTGTGTGTGTGTGTGTGTGTCTCACTGTGTGTGTGTGTGTGTCTCACTGTGTGTGTGTGTGTGTCTCACTGTGTGTGTGTGTGTGTGTCTCACTGTGTGTGTGTGTGTCTCACTGTGTGTGTGTGTCTCACTGTGTGTGTGTGTGTGTGTCTCACTGTGTGTGTGTGTCTCACACTGATACTCTGTCTCTCTCTCACTCTGTGTGTCTCTCACTGTCTGTGTGTCTGTGTCGCTCTCTCACTCTCTCGCACACACTCTCTCTCTCGCACACACTCTCTCTCTCGCACACACACGCACTCTCTCTCGCACACTCACACTCTCTCTCTCTTTCTCTCACCCTCTATCTCTCTCTCTCTCTCTCTCTCTCCCCCACAGGAGGTGAGGTTTAAGCTGAGACACGATGCGGCAGAGCTGGGGGCGAGATGTGGGGCTCGGGGAGACTGGGACCAGTCGCTACTCTCTCTCCTCGTGGCTCACGGTCTGTACCCCCAGGTGGCCCTGCCCGACCCCAACAACCCTTCCCGCAGGGACTCCGAGCAGGTCGGCCACTCCCTCTCTCTCCTTCTCTCTCACACATTCTCCCACTCCGTTACTCTCCCTTTCCCTCCGTCCTCTGTCTCTCACCCACTGTCTCTCTCTGTCGTACACTCTGTGTGTGTGTGTGTGTGTGTGTGTGTCTCTCTCTCTCACGCTCTCTCTCTCTCTCTCTCACACACTCTGTCTTTCTCAGTCTCTCACTCTCACTCTCACACACTGCGAGTCTCTCTCTCTCTAACTCTGTCTCTCTCACTCACTCTCTCACAGACTGGGTGTGTGTGTGTCACTCACACACACACACACTTTCTCTCTCTCACACTCACTCTGTCTGTTTCTCTCTCTTACTATCCCTCGCACACAATCCCTTTCTCTCACTCTCTCACTCTCTCACTCACTCTCTCTCTCACACACTCTGTCGGTTTCTCTCTCCTACTATCCCTCACACCCTCTCTCTCTCGTGTAGATTTTTCACACCAAGACCAAACAGGGGGTACTTATGCATCCAAACAGCGTGTTTTACAGTGACCCGAGCTTGTTACACACACACAGTGAGCGGGAGAGGAAAGGTACGTGTCTAACACACACACACACACACACACACACACACACACTCACAGACAGACACCCCCCCCCACGCGCCTGTGTCCCCGGCAGTCAGTAGGAATCGCTTGTCAGGCGATTGGGGGACCGCTTTCCGGGGGTAATAATCCCTCCGAAACAATAATGCGGTCACTTCGACCCCCGTGCGGACGTCGCCGGGCGCGACCGGCTGCCGCGCTTGGCCCCCGAAACACACAGTCACTACACTTCACAGCGTGGCCCATGAAGCGCTTTGAGACGTCTCGACGACGCGATCGGGCGCCGGGTCACACCCCCCGGGGGTTATTATTATTATATCAAATACAAGAATTATTATACACTCAGACACACACACACTCAGACACACACACACACACACACACAGACTGACCCTGTCTCCTCTCCTGTCTCTAGGATCGCGAGGAGGTGGTGAGGCCTCACATCACCTGGTCCTCTTCCTGTCTTTACTCGAGACAAACAAACCCTATCTGATCACCTGTGTCCGAACTCCAGCCCTGCAGGTCAGCCAGAGGGAGGGAGGGAGGGGGAGAGAGAGGGAGAGAGCGTGAGTGAGAGGGAGAGAGCGTGTGAGAGAGAGGGAGAGAGCGAGAGAGAGGGGGAGGGAGGCGGAGAGAGCGAGAGGGAGAGAGCGTGTGAGAGAGAGCGAGGGAGAGAGAGAGGGGGAGAGGGAGAGGGAGGGGGAGAGAGCATGAGTGAGAGGGAGAGAGCGTGTGAGAGAGAGGGAGAGAGTGAGGGCGAGAGAGGGGGAGTGAGAGAGAGAATGTGTGAGAGGGAGAGCGTGTGTGGGAGAGAGTGTGACTGCTCTCTCTTGAATGAGTGAGCAGATGCACACACACTCACTCTCACAGACACACACACACTCACTCTCACAGACACACACACACTCACTCTCACACACACACACACACAGGCATCTGTCTGACTTACGACGGAGTGACTTGTGACGTACAGAACGAGTGACTGACTGTCCTCCTCTCTCCCCCACCCCTCCCTCTCTCCCCCAGACCCTGCTCCTGCTCTCCCGCTCGCTGGACACAGACGGGGGCTGCACGAGGCTGGTGGCGGATGGTTGGCTGGAGGTCAAGGTGGCCGAGGACCCGGAGATGGCTCTGCAGGTCCTGTCGGCCGCTGTGAGACTCCGGGAGAGGTGGGGGCGAGCCCTGGGGCAGTGCCTGACACGATCTCACGCCGACAGCCACCAGCGCGGGGAGAGGGAGGAGGAGGAGGAGGAGGGGAGGGAGAGGAAGGAGACACGGTCACTCAGCAACGACCTCAGAGAGTTTCTGGCCTTGAAGGTATAAATGTCCTCTCTCTCTCTCTCTCCTCTCACACAGACGCTCTCTCCCCCCCCACTCCACACTCTCTGCCTCCCATCGTGTCTGTGCTGGTGTTCGCTGCCCCCGGTCACGGTGACGGGTGTCCGTGTGTGTGTGTCAGACACCCGGCCGGTCACGGTGATGGGTTTCCGTGTGTGTGTGTGTCAGACACCCGACCGGTCACGGTGATGGGTGTCCGTGTGTGTGTGTCAGACACCCGACCGGTCACGGTGACGGGTGTCCGTGTGTGTGTCAGACACCCGACCGGTCACGGTGATGGGTTTCCGTGTGTGTGTGTGTCAGACACCCGACCGGTCACGGTGACGGGTGTCCGTGTGTGTGTCAGACACCCGACCGGTCACGGTGACGGGTGTCCGTGTGTGTGTCAGACACCCGACCGGTCACGGTGACGGGTGTCCGTGTGTGTGTCAGACACCCGACCGGTCACGGTGACGGGTTTCCGTGTGTGTGTGTCAGACACCCGACCGGTCACGGTGACGGGTGTCCGTGTGTGTGTCAGACACCCGACCGGTCACGGTGACGGGTGTCCGTGTGTGTGTCAGACACCCGACCGGTCACGGTGACGGGTGTCCGTGTGTGTGTCAGACACCCGGCCGGTCACGGTGACGGGTGTCCGTGTGTGTGTGTGTGTCAGACACCCGGCCGGTCACGGTGACGGGTTTCCGTGTGTGCGTGTGTGACAGACACCCGGCCGGTCACGGTGACGGGTGTCCGTGTGTGTGTGTCAGACACCCGGCCGGTCACGGTGACGGGTGTCCGTGTGTGTGTCAGACACCCGACCGGTCACGGTGACGGGTTTCCGTGTGTGTGTGTGTCAGACACCCGACCGGTCACGGTGACGGGTGTCCGTGTGTGTGTGTCAGACACCCGGCCGGTCACGGTGACGGGTGTCCGTGTGTGTGTGTCAGACATACGGTGAGGAGCGATCGCTAACCGGGCCTCGTTTTTGCTCAGGTCACGTACGACATCCAACGCTTAACAGCTCTGGAAGCTCAAAACCTGTACGTGGGACCTGACGTGGAGACCGAGACGCTGAACATCCCCGGACTGACGTCTGAACAAGAAACAAAACCACATCCCATCAAAGGAGGGTTGATATTCAACAGTTACCTCACCTACAACTGTCTGAAGGTACAGTCCATCTCCCGCTCACACTCACTTCATCCCCTGACACCCCACCACATCTCTATCCTTCTCCCTCTCACGCTCACTCCATCCCCCTGACTCCCCGCCCCCAAGTCTCTCTCTCTCTCTCCCAACGCAGAACAACCAAGACATCTACAGTGGGTGTCTACGCACGTTTTGGACGTGCCCCGTGTGCGACCTGCACCTGCCCTTCACCCCCTTGGAAAGGATACAGCACGAAGCGGATTGTACAGCGCGGGTCAAAAGCCACGAGGAAGCAGGTAAGTGACCCGTTCACTCTCCCCACCGCTGGGAGCACCTCTGGGAATTCTTGGGGGGAATCCCTGGAGCTCAGGGGTTAGACCCCTCCCCTCACACCCCACAGCCCCTGTAGCTCAGGGGTTAGACCCCTCCCCTCACACCCCACAGCCCCTGTAGCTCAGGGGTTAGACCCCTCGACTCACACCCCACAGCCCCTGTAGCTCAGGGGTTAGACCCCTCGTAAGCCACAGTCCCTGTAGCTCAGGGGTTAGACCCCTCGCCTCGCACCCCACAGCCCCTGTAGCTCAGGGGTTAGCCCCCTCCCCTCACACCCCACAGCCCCTGTAGCTCAGGGGTTAGCCCCCTCCCCTCACACCCCACAGCCCCTGTAGCTCGGGGGTTAGACCCCTTCGCCCTCACACGCCAGAGGACCCGGGTTCGATTCCCGGGCGGGACAGGACAGGGAGAAACCTTAGGCAGGTTTCCTTACCCCCCCCCACACACACACCCCCCCACACACCCCCCACGCGCCTGTGTCCCGGCAGTCAGTAGGAATCGCTTGTCAGGCGATTGGGGCATCACTTTCCCGGGGCTAATAATCCCTTCAAAACAATAATAATTGTTATTAATTGTTAATTATTATTAGGCCCTCACACACACAAACACACCCACATTTGTTGAGGGGATGTTTTATTGTTGACTCTCTCTCTCCAGACTCGCCCGAGCCGCCTGAAAGCCTCTCTGTGGGAATGTCTGCGCTCCAGAGGATTTATCACTGTCCTGAGTGTCAGAAAGATTTCATGTTCACTTCCACACAGACTCTCAAACACAAGAAGCTTCATCGGTAGAGAGGGGGACACTCACTCACACACACAACACACACACTCACTCACACACACACACACACTCATTCACTCACTCACTCATACACACAGACACACACACACACACACTCACTCACTCACACACAGACACTCACACACACAGACACTCACACACACATCCACAGACACTCACTCACACACACACACAGACACTCACTCACAGACACTCACTCACACACACACCCACAGACACTCACTCACACCCACAGACACTCACTCACACACACACACGGAGAACAAGACACTCCGCACCTTCTAACTTATGGGTTTCCTGACAATTACTGCCTGATGTGAGTTTCTTCGCTGCGCTGCCAAAATACATCCCCACTTGTATGTTTAACTTCCCGCCTCTTCTCCAGTCTGTGGTTCAGTCCCCTCCCCAACCCCCCACAAACAAACCCCCTCACACGCCAGGGACTCGAAACCCATATAGTCTAAGCTGAGGCTCCAGGGCAGCGCTGGGGGAGAGAGAGAGAACGAGAGACAGAGAGAGAGAGAGAGAGAGAGACGCATTGTCAGAGACGTTAAACCTCCCTCACTCCCCATCTGTGCCCGTTAAAGAGACTCTCTCTCTCTCCCCCTCTCTCTCCCTCCCGGTGTCCTGGCCGACAGATTAAAATCGCTGTCTGGCTTCACGGCTGTTCGGGGGGACGGCGCTGGGCGCAAGCGGCTGCCGCCTTTCGCCCACAGAACGCACAGTCGCGCGCGCGCGCGCACGGTCACTACACGTCACGGGTGGGTCCTGTGAAGTGCTGCGAGAGACGTCTGAAAGGTGCGATGGAGGCACCGGGTCACACACACAAGGATTATCATCGTCATCGTCATTATTATTATTATTAATTTTAGGTTTTATACACACAGTCGCAAAGGACAGATAAGAAATAAAAGGGGGGGGCGGGCGGGCGTGGGTAGGGGGAGAAGAGAGGGTGGTGGGGGGGACAAGAGAGGGTGGGGGGGGACAAGAGAGGGTGGGGGGGACAAGAGAGGGTGGGGGGGGACAAGAGAGGGTGGGGGGGGGGTAAAGGGTTGTATTAGTGTCCTGTCAGATTAGCCTAAATCTCGGTAAAACAAATATGGGGGAAAATGAGGGGAACGGCGCCTGAGGCTCAGACTGTCTTGAAGCGAGTGGCGAGGAGTGTGGGGGTGGGAGTGTGTGTGTCTGTCAGTGTCTCGGTGTATCTTTGTGTGTGTGTGTGTGCGTCCGACTGACTGTGTCTCTGTCGAGTCTGCGTGAATCTAACTGTATGAGTCTGTGTGTGTGTGTGTACCTGCGCCTGTCCTTGTGTGTGTGTGTGTTGTGTGTCTGACTGTAGAGGTGTGCGTATCTGTCAGCGCGTGAGTGTCTGTGTCTCTGTGTGTATCTTGGTCCGTGTGCGAGTGTCTGTCTGTGTGTGTCTTTGTTAATGCGTGTGCTTGACGGGAGAGAGAGAGGGAGAGAGAGAGAGGGGGAGGGAGGGAGAGAGAGAGAGGGAGGGAGGGGGTAGATGGGAGACAGAGAGAGAGGCAGAGAGGGAAGGCGAGGGAGAGGGGGAGGGAGGGTGTTGCGGGGGTGACCGAGGGGGTCATTCCCCTGACCGGCAGCAAGCCCGAACCGAGCACTGGAGATTCTGGCAGCCACTGGCTGTGGTGGCATGAGGACCTGCGAGAGAGAGACACAGTCAGGTACACACACACGCAGTCAGGTATACATAGATACACAGTCAGGTACACACACAGGTACACACAGACACAGTCTGTCAGACACACATAGAGAGACACACAGGTATACACAGACACACACACACACAGTCAGGTACACACAGAGACACACAGTCAGGTACACACAGACACACAGTCAGGTACACACAGACACACAGTCAGGTACACACAGAGACACAGTCAGGTACACACAGACACACAGTCAGGTACACACAGTCAGGTACACACAGAGACACACAGTCAGGTACACACAGACACACAGTCAGGTACACACAGACACACAGTCAGGTACACACAGTCAGGTACACACAGTCAGGTACACACAGTCAGGTACACACAGTCAGAGACACACAGTCAGGTACACACAGACACACAGTCAGGTACACACAGACAGATATACACAAGGACATACAGTCAGGTACACAGTCAGGTACACACAGTCAGATATATACAGAGACACACAGTCAGGTACACACAGTCAGGTACACACAGTCAGATATATACAGAGACACACAGTCAGATACACACAGAGACAGAGAGGCACACACACAGAAAAACACACACAATGAGACAGAAAGAGAGACACACACACATACAGTGAGACACACACACACACACAGTGAGACAGAGAGAAACACAAACACAGTGGGACACATTCAGAGAGACACACACACAGCGAGAGACACAGTGAGATACAGAGAGAGACCCACACACAGCGAGATACAGAGAGAAACACACAGCGAGATAGAGAGACACACACACACAGCAAGACACACAGCGAGATACAGAGAGAAACACAGCGAGATAGAGAGAGACACACACAGCGAGAGAGAGACACACACACAGAGACACACAGCGAGATACAGAGACACACACAGCGAGAGACACACACAGCGAGAGAGAGACACAGAGAGAGAGACACACAGCGAGACACACACAGCGAGATAGAGACACACACAGCGAGACACACACAGCGAGATAGAGACACACACAGCGAGCTGTGTCTCAGTCTCTCTCTCTCTGTGTCTCTCTCTCATGTCTCTCAGTCTCTCTCTCATGTCTCTCAGTCTCTCAGTGTGTGTCTCTCTCTCTCTGTGTCTCTCAGTCTCTCTCTCTCTCTCTGTCTCAGTCTCTCTGTCTCTCTCTCTCTGTGTCTCTCTCTCATGTCTCTCAGTCTCTCACTGTGTGTCTATCTCTCTCTGTGTCTCTCTCTCTCATGTCTCTCAGTCTCTCACGGTGTCTCTCTCTGTGTCTCTCTGTCTCTCTCTCTCTCTCTGTCTCAGTCTCTCTCTGTGTCTCAGTCTCTCTCTCTCTGTGTCTCTCTCTCATGTCTCTCAGTCTCTCACTGTGTGTCTCTCTCTCATGTCTCTCAGTCTCTCACGGTGTCTCTCTCTCTCTGTGTTTCTCTGAGTCTCTCTCTCTCTCTCTCTCTCTGTCTCAGTCTCTCTCTGTGTCTCAGTCTCTCTCTCTCTGTGTCTCTCTCTCATGTCTCTCAGTCTCTCACTGTGTGTGTCTCTCTCTCTCTCTCTGTGTCTCTCTCAGTCTCTCTCTCTCTCTCTCTGTCTCAGTCTCTCTCTGTGTCTCTCTCTCTGTCTCAGTCTCTCTCTGTGTCTCTCTCTCATGTCTCTCAGTCTCTCACGGTGTCTCTCTCTGTGTTTCTCTGAGTCTCTCTCTCTCTCTCTCTCTGTCTCAGTCTCTCTCTGTGTCTCAGTCTCTCTCTCTCTGTGTCTCTCTCTCATGTCTCTCAGTCTCTCACTGTGTGTGTCTCTCTCTCTCTCTCTCTCTGTGTCTCTCTCAGTCTCTCTCTCTCTCTCTCTCTCTGTGTCTCTGTCTCTCAGTCTCTCTCTCTCTGGTGTGAGATGATTGTGGAGCCTGTAGATAGTCTGTAGACTGACTCCCTCTCTCTCCCCCCTACACAGGGCCCTCACTCTGTATGGTGGACTGCCTATCCTCGAGCACCTGGACTTGTCTGGATGTGTGTCTATCAGTGGCCAGGGCCTGTATAACCTGGTCTCAGCCTGTCCATCGCTTAATGATGAATTGTTTTACTACTGTGATAACATCATTGGTAACTTTGTGCGCGTGTGTCTGTGTGCGCGTGTGTGTCTGTGTGCACGTGTGTCTGTGTGTGTCTGTGCGCGCGTGTGTGTCTGTGTGCACGTGTGTCTGTGTGCGCGTGTGTCTGTGCGCGCGTGTGTCTGTGCGCGCGTGTGTCTGTGTGCGCGTGTGTCTGTGTGCGCAATGCTGCGTCTGCGTTCTCTGTGCCTTACTGCGTGTGCGTGTCTCGCTCTGTGCGTGTCTCTGTTTGTATTTGTGTCTCTCTGTATCTCGCTGTGTGTCTCGCTGTGTGTGTCTCTGTATCTCGCTGTGTGTGTGTCTCTGTGTCTCGCTGTGTGTGTCTCTATCTCGCTGTGTGTGTCTCGCTGTGCGTGTCTCTATCTCGCTGTGTGTGTCTCGCTGTGTGTCTCTCTCTCTGTGTCTCTCTCTCGCTGTGTGTGTCTCTATCTCGCTGTGTGTGTCTCGCTGTGTGTGTCTCTATCTCGCTGTGTGTGTCTCGCTGTGTGTCTCTCTCTCTGTGTCTCTCT